ATTGTGTTATTAATCAAGGTATTATCAAACTGCAATGTTTAGAGTAAATAACTGTTGGTCTAGTATACTTTTTAATAAAAATACTTCCACGATTTGCAAAATACTGTAGGCTTATCAGTTGTTACAGAGCTGAAACAGCACTGCACAACAGGAATGAATAATATAAAATAATAATACAACTCATTATTCGCATACTTACATGTGTTACACAGCTGTGTATACACAAAATATAAGAAAGCAGATTCTAGATTGAATAAGTTCTAGTCTTGCATTTAGCAAACAGATTCTGCTGCTGCTGATGTTTAATAAATAGAAATCCTTTTTTTTTACTTCGCAGAGAAGATTAGAGGCTTCACACTTTTCTCAGTAGTCATTAAGGGGCTGTCATATCTTCCCCTGGCCAATGCACACAAATCAACAAAAAAACCTCCCTCAGAGAAAAGACACAGTAAGACAGAAGCGCGAATAACAGTCATTTACATCACAGCCTCTCTGAGCTTACAGTGCCTTTCACATTCTAGCCCCTCAAATTCACAGAGCACTGCCATGAAATAGAGAAGCAACTTCAAATGAAGATGAGAGAAGAGGATAAAAAAGCCACTCCAGGCCTTGCCCTCAGCTATATACAGTATATATATATATATAAAACTATCTGTGACCCTGCAGCACAAAAGCAGTCTTAAGTCGCTGGGGTATATTTGTAGCAACAGCCAAACATACATTGTATGGGTTAAAATTATAGATTTTTCTTTTATGCCAAAAATCATTAGGATATTAAGTAAAGATCATGTTCCATGAAGATATTTTGTAAATAATTTTTGTGTGTGACAAAAGCATTTACATAAGAGAGATGCAAGAGCTACTGTAAATGAAATGGAAGTTGACACTCACTGGTTTCAGGAAATGTTAGGGCGTGTTACTGAAATATCACCCTTGGTAATGCATTTGCTGCATCTCCTGAATTTAAACTCAACAACCGAACTTCAGACAGCTCTAATTGTGCCTAGTAATTGTTGCACTCAGACGTGGCGACCCTCTCTGTTTAATTACCTCTTAAGTGGTGGTCACCCATTACTGTAGAGCCAGATGAAATCTGAAGATGACGCCAGCTCTCGGGTGAGCTTGAATAACAGATGATGTCCCGTTGGCTGATTCTTAAGACACATCTTACAAATCTCTTTCCAGGGAATGTTTTCTTAAACATCTCTGTAATGTTCAAAACAGTAGCCAAATTAAATGAATAGTTCACCCAAAACATTTTTATTCAGACCTACTGTATATCAGGGGTGTAGTTACAGAAAATAAACATTTAATAACAACGCACTTATTGAGTATATATGTTGTTACATTGTACTTACATATGCAATTACACTGTTTACCCGAAACCTAGCATTACAACTACACATAATCCTACCAATAGCCCTACTGTAACTGTAAGCCTCTTTTGCAAATAATATTCAAAAATAACAACATGTAAATACAAAATGAGTAGGACTGGGATTGGTAAAAGCTGATCTAGGTTACTCATTTTAGGGAATGTATTCTGACTACTTTTTAGATTACTTTTAGATTACTTTTTTAAGTAACTTGTTTTAAACTTACCGTTAAACATACCACATTGATATAAATAAAAAAAAGCAAAGAGAAGGAAAATGTATTCAATCTTTTTAATTAAAATCATAAAATGCATTCAACATTACAGTACACCAGGGTTTCCCAAACTGGGCTTAATTTAGGAACTGCTGTGAGTTGATAAAAAAGCGAATAATTCAATCATAAAAATGTTAAATAAATTATTTAAACAACTGAACACTATAAATATAAATATTTAATTTGTTTACTTGCATGTCAATGTGACCATTAACCGTAAACATGCAAATGTGTTGTTACATTTTTGGAATATTAACTTCAGAGATATTTCAAGTGAATATTTCATGTCAAAGGGGTTTGGCTGATAAAATATTTGTGAATCTCTGCATTACATGAACAAACATTAATAAACATGAAAACAACAATGACATTTCACATCCAAAATCTTTCAGGGTTTGATTTTTGCTGTCAAGACTTCCAGAATCAACAGTTACCAGAATTGAGATTCTATGAAATCAGCTTCTCCCCAGCTCCTCAGCTGTTTGTTTAATTAATTATAGGTCAGTTTTTGAAGAACAGTTCTTTTAACAAACAAAAGATGTTCATATACAATTGCATTGTGGTGTCAGAAACATAACCCTCCCTACCCACAGCAGCTTACTGTACACCATGATGCTCATTATCTCCAAGCGTTTGACAGCCTCCTCCACTGAGAAAATGTACGTAGGATAGCAATGGTGACGGCTATTTTTACGTTGTTTGCTGCCTCACTGTAGTGTTTCTGATGGTGCACCGGATGTATAGAGCTTTCCCATGCAGGCTACAGGTCACACTCGAACTCCTATCCGGAGTAAATGGATTACAGGTTTCCTGATAGGAGATGGCTCCCTCCAGTATCCCAATACCTGCCCTGATAAAAGAATTATGAGGAGAAGCTTAGAACCTTAAGAAGCCTTGCTGATCATACAAAACGAACTCTCTAAATCTCAGAGACTCAAATATCTTTCTAAACTTTCCAGAACTTCCTTTAAGGATGGTAAGAGAAAGCTGTGAAAGCCTGCCTGGTGTTGCATGGCATTTCATAATGATGTTTACAGCAAGAGAGCAACACTGAGATTGGGTTTCTTAGCATGTAAACAGAAAAATTTCATCATCACCTCTGAGGTGCATTGGACTGACATTTAACACCCTGGGCCGCAGACAGATTTTTCACAATCTCTTTTAATAATAAAGGGTTAAGCAACTTTCTAAGACTTTATTTGAGCCTTCATTATTTCTAATTTTGGTGAGTGGGTACACAATTTCCTAAAATGGGTGAATCGCTTTACAGCAGCAACAAATGTACGTGTACAGCTATCCACTGTAATTATGACAAGGAAGTGTTTACAACAGTGAATTCCTCTCATTTACTGTAACGGGAGGCTCTAAACTGCATTATTTATACTAACTGACTTTTACATTTTGGTAAATGAACCCCAAACTGAAATACATACATGTCTACTATATGGTAAAACAAATACTATTTGCCTTTTGGGTTTTGATTTGGTCACGGGAACTAATTAAAACAATTTCAAGGAAAATCAATAGGGTTCCTGGAACACAAACACACTTTGAAAAAGCATGAATTCCAGTGCGATGCTTAATTTTTAATGGTGAAAATGGTGAGGTGAAATATAAGAACCAAACATTTTTTCTGACATTTGTTTTATGGCAGAACTGCAAACGTCTCACAGTATAAAAGAAACACAATGTGGGTGTTATTTATGTGATTTGTGTAATTCAGGAATATGGCAAGACAAGAAACACTAACAAAGCCTAAGAACCTTTGCAAACGCTTCTTACAACATGCTTACGATTATTATTATCTTTACAATGCTTTTTTTGTTTTATCTGGGGCTAATTTTATCTGATGTAAAGAGCTCGATGTAGCTGTATTACCACATAGACCAGCCGTTAACGATCTGTCCATCACGGACTGTGTGACTTATCCTGTAGATTTTTTTTCTTCTGCGACTAAACGACTAATAAATTTTTGATCGACCAAGCCTCTTCTGGTCGACTAATGGTTAGTCGACTATTAGGGGGCAGCCCTAGTAGCCACGCCCCCAACTCTCGCTATTGGTTAAGCTGGAAAGAGATTGACAGATGAGCGGAATGCTCTAAATGTTTTGATGGGGCCTGGAAGCCTTGGTGTTTTTACGCTTTTGGGAAATAACAAGGATAGCATTGAGTTTTCTGTATTTATTACTTTTAATAAGGAACATTTGAGTAGTTGCTGACTTTTTTTTTTAAATAATATTTGTCCTGGAACTAATACATGCCATGAAGACATTCACAAATTCTCTTCCTTAGTATATATTCCCTTTCTTTTCTTTATCAAAGACATTTGCGTAGTTTGAACACCCCAGGAAGTGCTGAATATAATATTCCAGTACTAAGATTTCTATCAAGCTGAGAGGTCTGTCTGTCACTCCTGATGAGTGATGGGGGAATGGTTTGGAAAGTGGAAGTATTGTGAAGGAATAGGAAAGGGAATATAACTTATTACATAATTGTCAACAGGGATGTTTTTACAGAGATGCTGGAACATGTGCTGATGGGAAAGGATGCTCTATATATTGCATATTGGTTGGTTCTAAAAATAAATAACAAGGTCGTTTGTTTTACAAGATAAATGCAAATATAATATTTAACTGATGCATATGTTTTCTAATAATATTACGTTTCACCTCACCTACTGTCACAACTTATTCTTTGTTGACATGATATTTCACATTTTAGTTGTATATTCCAGCACAACGTTAATTTGCAGCTGAAAAATATAGGCACATTATATCAAAGTTTGAAATGTATAGCCCCAAAACACTGAGTTACAAACATCAAAAGAACAATGTGTTGTAAGTCTCCCTGGTCTCCCATATACTGTCACCTGCCTGGATCTTTCTCATGTGCGTTTGTAGATTCATGCTTTGTGTTTTGAAATGCTTATGCAAAAATTGTCATTGCTGATTTGAAGGTTAATGAGTTATTTGACAGTCCAAAATTAGCAGTATGCAGGTTTTTAATGACATTTAAAAAAATGACATGGGCATTTTTTGGGTGAACTCAGTCTTTAAAGATGGTTTGAAACGATTCATTTAAATGCTGTTTTGTTCAGTGTGCTCTCATCTGTTATTATACCTGTACTCATCTCCTGGGTTTCCCTTATAGAGCTCAGCTCCTTAACACTCATTGATGACCTGATGTGAACTGCTGTGCTTTTAAAGTTATACATCATCAAATTTTAAAGCTAGTTAAGATTTTAAAATATACCCTAAAAATGCCTCCTTCCTTCTTTCTATCTTTACTCTTTCTTTGACATTGTTATATTTATAGCTCATTAATCTTTCTTTGTATGGTTTATTTTTCAGGACTACACACTGACTATGTATTTCCAGCAAGCCTGGCGAGACAAGCGTCTGTCCTATTCTGAGATTCCTCTTAACCTGACGCTGGATAACCGGGTAGCCGATCAGCTGTGGGTGCCAGACACATACTTCCTAAACGACAAGAAGTCTTTTGTACATGGTGTAACAGTGAAGAACAGAATGATCCGTCTCCATCCAGATGGCACTGTGCTTTGCAAATAAAAAAAACTTAGAATATCGTGAAAAATATCGTGACAGTCCATGATGAGAAGCTTGTTATTGATTTAATTATCTTTTTAAGTCAGATAGGAAGCCAGTAGTACTTAAAAGTTGGCATAGATGCCCGTGTGAACCGAGCAACGTGAAGTAAAAGTTAGCTTTACTTATGATATTGCAGTCAAAATATAAAATATAAAAATACAGTACCGCCATCACAGCAATTCCTATCCTAGTATGTTTCGATTTGTCAAAGAATCCCTACAGTTACCAAGGTTTTATAGTATAATTAAAACACAAATTTAAATAACCAGATAATACTACTCTGAACCCAATAAGGCTTTAGAGTTTTTGGGGGGAATGCTGAAAAAAGTAAAACAAAATTAATTTATTATAGTTTGTTGTTGTTTACTTTCTCTTTAGGGATACACAGAAAAAAAAAAATATATATATTTCATAAACCCTCAGTACTGTTGCTCCTGGTGTAATGGTCAGCTGTCCCAAATACTTTTGTCCATAAATATATAGATAGACAGACAGATATAGTTAGATATATAGATAGATAGGTAGATGATAGATAGATAGATAGATAGATAGTTGAACAACAACAGATAACTCTTCAGAGGTATGATAGAAATACAATCGACCCAGCTGACCCACATATTTACTTTTGACATGAAAATGTTACTGTTAATGAGAAACTAATTAGGATTTATTGAAGTGCTGCCTTCCTCCAAACTATTACCTACTCCAGTAAAGATCCAACATTAATAAAGCTGCCTGGGGAAAGAAGTTGGATAATTTCATAGCTCCACTCTCTGTCTCATCTCTCATCTCTCTCTCTATATATATACAGGTGCAAATAAAAAAACTTAGAATATTGTGAACATTTTCATTTTCTTTGTAACACATTTCAAAAAGTGAAACTTTCATATATTCTAGATTCATTACATGTAAAGTAAAATATTTCAAAAGTTTTTTTTTTTGTTTGTTTTAATTTTGATGATTAGAGCTTGCAGCTCATGAAAGTCAAAAATCCAGTATCTCAAAATATTAGAATATTTCCTAATATCAATAAAAAAGGATTTGCAAAACAGAAAAGCTCAAGATCTTTAAAATATGTTGATTTATGCAGTCAATACTCGGTCGGGACTCCTTTAGCACAAACTCCAGCATCAGTGAGGTGTGAATGGAAGCGATCCGCCTGTGGCTCTGCTGAGATACTATTGAGCTTCAGCTCGGATCCAATGTTTCTCATCTTTCTCTTGAAAATATCCCATAGATTCCATATGGGCTTCAGGTCAGGCATGCTGGCTGGCCAATCAAGCACAGTAATATCATGGTCAGCAAACCACTTGGAAGTGGTTTTGGCACTGTGGGCAGGTGCTAAAGTCCTGCTGGAAAAGGAAATCAGCATCTCCATAAAGCTTGTCAGCAGATGGAAGCATAAAGTGCTCCAAAATCTCCTGGTAGACGGCTGCATTGACTTTGGACTTAAAACACAATGGACCAACAACCAGCAGACGTCACGGCACCCCAAATCATCACTGACTTCTTGGCACTGTGGGCAGGTGCTAAGTCCTGCTGGAAAAGGAAATCAGCATCTCCATGAAGCTTGTCAGCAGATGGAAGCATAAAGTGCTCCAATATCTCCTTGTAGACGGCTGCATTGACTTTGGACTTGATAAAACACAATGGAGCAACACCAGCAGACTTCACGGCTCCACAAATCATCACTGACTTCAGAAACTTCACACTGGACTTCAAGCAGCTTGGATTCTGTGCCTCTCCAGTCTTCCTCCAGACCTTGATTTCCAAATGTAATGCAAAATTTACTTTTATCTGAAAAGAGGACTTTAGAGCACTGAGCCAACAGTCCAGTTCTTTTTCTCCTTAGCCCAGGTGAGATGCTTCTGACGTTGATATTATTGTGGTTTCAAAGAAAAAGAGATACCCGGAATTTATGTAGGGATGATCATTTAATGAAACTGAAATGTAAATATTCTAATATTTTGAGATACTGGATTTTTTACTTTCATGAGCTGTAAGATCTAATCATCAAAAAAAAAAAAAAAAAACTTTTGAATAGAATATATGAACGTTTCACTTTTTGAAAAAAGTTACAAAAAAAATAACTTTTTCACGATATTCTAATTTTTTAGATGCACCTGTATATACACTGAACAAAATTATAAACGCAACACTTTTGTTTTTGCCCCCATTTTCCATGTTCCCTAGATGTACACAACACCAAACTGATTGAAATTGACAAGACTTATATATGTGATACAATGACATAATGTATATAATTAAAAGAACAAATTAATTAAGATGAGGATTGTATCTGACACGGCTACTACAGTGACTTTTCTGGACAGTCCATGATGAGAAGCTTGTTATTGATTTAATTATCTTTTTAAGTCAGATAGGAAGCCAGTAGTACTTAAAAGTCAGAATTAAAATTTAAATAACCAGATAATACTACTCTGAACCCAATACGGCTTTAGATTTTTTGGGGGGAATGCTGAAAAAAAAGTCAAATTTATTTAATTTATTATAGTTTGTTGTTGTTTACTTTCTCTTTAGGTAATACATGTTGTTTCAGTTTTTCTTTAGGGATACACAGATTTTTTTAGTAAAAATAAAAATAATAAAAATAAATAAATATTTCATAAACCCTAAGTATTTCAAAGTCCCTGTTGTTCCTGGTGTAATGGTCAGCTCTCCCACATACTTTTGTCCATATAGATAGATAGATAGACAGACAGATAGACAGACAGATAGATAGATAGATAGATGATAGATGATAGATAGATAGATAGATAGATAGATGATAGATAGATAGATAGATAGATAGTTGAACAACAACAGATAACTCTTCAGAGGTATGATAGAAATACAATCGACCCAGCTGACCCACAGATTTACTTTTGACATGAAAATGTTACTGTTAATGAGAAACTAATTAGGATTTATTGAAGTACTGCCTTCCTCCAAACTATTACCTACTCCAGTAAAGATCCAGCTTAATAAAGCTGCCTGGGGAAAGAAGTTGGATAATTTCATAGCTCCACTCTCTGTCTCATCTCTCAGCTGGACTTCAGGATCTTTTAGCACATGGTTTGTTGGCTTGCACTGGTAGTTGGCATTACATAACCTCTCATCTCCTTTCTCTGGAGCAAAGAGCAATTAGCCAATTGTTTAAGAGCATGATTCATTGGTTAGTAAAATGATATTATTATTGCCGGAGCCATTTAGCTCCTTGTTTATTAGAGAGCTACTGTCCAGAGCAATCTCATCTGTCACTAAACTGTGCCGTCCGATCAAAGGAGTTCAGCTCATTATTCTCTTTGTTGTTTTCAGATTTACATATTTGAAGATTATCCTGTCAGGTTTTGTGTAACCTGTCATTCGCTCTAAGACCCGTCACATTTTCTCTCTTACTGCTAAACTTGTGATGTAATTCACTCTAAACTATGTCATTAAGGTATAGGTATTATAGGTATTGTACAAAACACAATCAGATGTGATGTGCGCTGCGAGTGAACAATCTTTTATGATATGTGTCAAAGGTGCTGTTATGAGTGATATAACTTCCTGAAGAATTTCCTGTTGGGAATTTTATGGAGGAATAGTGAGACGTCTCTATTCACACACCTGAAGAAACAATGAGAAATGAAGTCAGTATACACAAGACAACAGACTGTCAATGTCTCTGGTATTTTTAAATGAGAAAAGTATATTTATGAGAATTTTTTTAGCCTTTAGCATTGTTTATACAGCTACAAATCATATATTTCCCAATGCATTTGAATGCAAATTGCTAGCTTTCATAATCTGTCAAGCATAGATTCTATTCACATCTATTAGACTTTGTTTGTTTGTTTGATTTTTTAAATTTGTCCTGAATTGATGAATTGTGCAGGTTAATCTTCAGTTTCACTAAAGAAGGGGAAAAAATTTGATCAACCATTGATTACCAGTTTTCTAAAATTACTCAGAAGTGCATCTCATGAATCTTCAGCTGGCAAAACAGAGCAAGAAGTAGAAGAGACTAAGGAGGCACGTTTCTGATGAAATAAGGATCCCTACTTTGGACCATGTTCAAAGTCATGACCCTAAAAAAACCTTAAAAAATATAGCCAAATTATTCAACCATTTAGGTATGCATTTCAATATTATGGACCATACCGTAATACTGAATAGTTACTGTAATGCTTCATATTACAGTAGCCCAGTTGCATTTTACATTTTACAGTAAATATATTTTAAACAGATATGCATACTGTAACAAACACTCACACACACAAACAAACAAACACATGTGCCAATACAGAGTTGTGTCCTTATCATATCTACATCATAATGACATTGTGCTGCAGTTTGACTGCTAGTAAAAGTGTAACTGTAAATCCTGTCCAGTTTCTTGCAATCAATATCCCACATATAGTAATGTGTAAACTTGTACTGTTGAAACTGATATTTGCCATAAAGAAGCCATAGTATATCAGGAAATACTGAAAGAGTAAACTGTTATATCGAGAACATTATGACATTATAAGCATTATAATCTTGTTGTGAACTACGACACAAGGGCTTGTCATTCTGATGGCACTTTTATGTTTATTGACACAAATATTTACTTTTCAGAGATGAACTTAGGGTTTTGAGAAAGTTACAGGCTTTTGTGTAGAGCTATCTGTTCGAATAGTTTTAAGAAATGCACTTACTGGTTTGCAAATGCTAAGGATTATTCGAGAAATACATAAGTAAAACATTACAGATCACATTTTACCACATGCATTCTGTATTGGAATACAATTAAAAGTATGTACAGTATGAAAGTTTTCTTTAATACGAGAAAACTCTAGCAATCAAAGCCGAAGAGAGGTTAACAGAGAGGTTGTAAATGACATATTGATGAAGAAATATTGCCAGCTCTCAATGCCAAAAGGACTTTAACCCAAATTTAAACATGTTTGGAATCTGTTGAAGTTAACGCAGCA